CCCCCCCCCCCCCCCCCCCGCATGTCCATTTTTCAGCCCTAAGATACTATCATGGGGATTCCTACATCCTAGAGGCTGCCACCTACAACGTGAGCTGCCAGTAAGCGCGGTAAAGCCCCCGAAACATCATGCCAGACAAAACACCTGTGGTCAATCGGCCTTAAACCCTGAACCGCAAACCCAAAGCNNAAAGCCCTACACCCCAAACCGTAAACTTGAAGACGTCAAAGCCATCAGGTCAGGCCCTTCCTGGAGCCCGGGTCCGTAGTCGCCTTGCATTGCGCACGCTGGAACCGCTTCCTGCGCATGAACAGTCAGGCCGTGGACTCATTGTTTGTGGAGGTTTCAGTGAACTAGGTGTGGCTTAGATTGGGGACCTCTTTCCATCTTAATCCTCGTCTTTTTCTGAACCCCCCCCTATGTCGTTACAGTTTGGGGCTTGGACTTCTGTTGTGTCTGGTGTTTTGCTTTCTCTTTTCGGTGTAGGGCTTAGGGTTTGGCAGGCGAAGTGGTGTTTAGGTCGACGAGCTTCTGGTTGGGCTGCGGATTTGGTCACAACGGATTCGGGTTTCGGGGTGTCGGTGCCGTGAAGTGAGATAGAAAGTTGCCCGAAAGTCTTCACCAATCTAACCTTCAACGTCTGGGAGGGAGAGAGAGAGAGAGAGACAGGGAGGCAGAGACAGACAGACAGGCAGCCAGGCAGGCAGACAGTCAAGCGAGCAGACAGACAGACAACAGACGCACAGACAGCCAGACGGACAGAGAAACAGACAGACGGACGGACAGACAGACAGGCAAACGAGAAAAAGTTGATCGGCAGAGAGACGACAGCGGCTGAGAAAGAGAGGTAGACAGAAGCGGACAGATGAAGAAGCGAGGCCGAAAGAAAGGATGCAGATGGCCAGTGTGAGGCGGCGACAGACGGAGACAGAGACAGCAGCGGTGATGCTTCGTTCTCCCGACGTATATCCTAAGCCCGATGTTTAAGAAGTTGATCGGCTGAGGCGGACATGGATAGCAGCGGCTGGAGGGACGTGGTTCTTGCCTCAGTCGGTCAATGAGAAAGATCATTTGCTAGTCGGGTTTGCCATTGCAGGCGTAGATCCAGGTTTCTCGTTTGGGGGCTTGGGACTCAAAATTCACTTGGGCCTAGACCTCGCATTCGTGTCGGGCTGTCAGGAGCAGTGTTGCAAGAAACGAGAAGACAGCAAAACCCAGCGTCCAGGACCAAAACCTCAGCCTGAGCCTTCAGAGGACTCGCTTCCGGATTCGTGGACCTGGGAGCGCTTCACCGTTGTCGATGCTGGGCATGGGAAGATCGCGCTCCACAACTCTGTGCACAATCGCTTTGCAACTTGGCTTTGGGGTGCTTTGCGGATTCCTGGTTCAAGTGCTGAGGTAAGGAGTTGAGGTATGACACGTTGCAAGAGCCAAGATGGAGCATGTTCCGCGGTGACTGAGCATGTAAGGTGACGATGAACGGCGCGGAAATGGAAACCAGTGTCCCCATGGCCAGCAGCGACCTGCCTGCATATTCTACCGGCGAGGCTTTCGCGGTGAGATATTTCCCGAATCTTGGCTGGCACCCTGGATTTGGGGTTCGTTCCTTTTCCCAACCGGATTTTCGTGTGTTGTGTTTTTTTGCCTTACTCGCTGAAGAACGTCTGATGGCATTAAATATACTGCCTCCGAGTTCTGAGCCCCAAGCCGACTCAGAACTGGGGAGATTGCCTTGCACAACACCTTCTTCAATCGGTACGTCCGCATGACAGAGCTGGTAGTTGATGGCAGCGACCAGGTCGAAGAGCAGGATTCCGGAAGTTTGGGACTTATCGGGGTATTGGACTCTCGAAGTGAGGATCTGAGAAGTTTTCGAGATTCAACTTTGTGCTTTTCTGGCTTTTTGACTTCCGTGGCCTTCCCTCCCTACCTACCTACCTACCTA